CGTATAGCTGGTCCCTGATGGGTTTCTCCCTTCTCAAGATGTTGGGCACATTGACCAAGAAGGTGTTGGACCTATGTGAAAATAAACAGTAGAGTGAGTTATTTCATCTACATAACAGTTGACTCCAATTTAAATTAAAGGGGTTGGAGTAAACACCTTGAGCACATTCCCAGTTCCAGCATAAGCACAGGAAAGTAGGGTCATGTCATAATATTTCCTAATTTTCTCATTAAATGTCTTAGAAACCTCTGATGTTGCCTCCACACTTTACTGTTCAACGACACAATGGGATTCCAAAGAAAAAAAACACAACAAAAACGAATGATGTAAATAAGAATCAAGTCCAGAGTCTACAAGGTGTTATCAACAATAAATAAATAATAATTTTCAGATGCACCACCAAATTTTTTTTTTTAAATGATCACAATTTGAAAAAGAATAATCTGTGATAAAATAGAAAAAAAAAAATTAAAAAACGCCCCACAGCTTGCATTTTTTAGTTACCTGCTTCCCAAGGTATAGAAGGCCAAGGCCAAGAGGCAAAAGTCGAGTGAGGGGCTCCCCCAATTCTGATTCACTTCGGTCCATTAATGCAAATATAATTGCCTGAGCAACCTCTTCATTACAGGAACCAACATATACCAAGGCCAATGAAATAGCAGTGAACGCAATCACATCAAGAGGCACTTTGTTATCTCCAAGGATAGGAGTCAATTTACTACGGATCTGACAAATGATTTAGATTAGTCCGCTGCAACGAGAAATAAACATATCAAACAAAGAAAGTAGAGGAACAAGTCAAATGATGTTTTTGCATTCCACAGATACAAGATAATTAACTATGGAACTGAGAAAAATTATAAATTAATCAACATCAACTTTAATTAAACATGTTGTACAAAGAGAAGGGAAGGTATCTTCCAGTACTCATCAAATTTTATCTCTCCCTCTCTATTTGTGTGAATTCTGTAACTTCTGTGATGAAATTAACAATCTATGGTAGAATAGACAGAATGATTCCACTGATGTGCCTCTTGAATCAGACATAGTATTGTTTCCATGGCCTACCAAGAAACCACCAGTTAAAAATGCAAGGAACCTCACCTGCTCATTTTGGGCACCAGCATAAGCATGGCCCAGACCCATTATTGCACCGATTCTGACAGAAGAATCCTCTGTATCTATATAATCAGCAAGAAGTGCCCTAGATTCTAGTATCCGAGTGGCCTAAGAGAAAACGATGTAAGATTAACAAAATTAACTAACAAGTTTAACATATGAAAGAGACAACAGCTTTCAGTTCATACGTCATATTTACTAGCAACAAATGAAGAGACATGTTCCTCCATGCATCCCCATTGTTGCTGTTGTTGAGAAACTGACCCCAAGATGGTCTTGTGCAGCCTTTTAAGCTCTGATCAAGCTGTGAACCAAAATTCAGAAGCAGCCCTTGGTTTTCTGCTTCTAATTTATTTTTCTGATCTGTATAACTTTTAATTTTAGTGAGTGCCTGAAAGCAATGCAGCTAAAGCACAAGAAAGAAGCACATTAACGCATGTAAGGACATACAAGTTCGAAAAATTTGTGCTTAGTAGTTATGCTAGAAATTGAACTATGTAATTTGATTAGAACATCCTAGGATAGGGTGTTTGTTCATCGATGTCATGACCTTGTGATCTCCAAAGCAACAAAACAATGTTACAGTATTCTAGTGTCACTTAAAGCTATTTCTTGTTAACCATGGAACCTCACTACTCAATTGTTTACTCCTAGCCAAGGGCTTTTTAGGCCAATGGTATTTACCCCAGCACTCTTATTTTAGTTTGGATGTTCAAACCTCGCCTTTTTAGCTCCTATCTATTCCACCCAGGACCACCACCACTTAGCGACTGGCTCTTTCCCAATACCATTAAGAGTAAGCTTTGGTAAAGAAAACCAGGTCCACTATTTGTTTCCTGCAAAGAAAATTTACAAGGTAAGAAAACTTCATCATCAGTCTGTTAGAAAATACTGTCAATTGCAGTTGTAGGTAGTTGTACTTGTTTGCAAAGAAAGCTTTGGTAAAGAGGAGTCATTAAAATCCAACATTCAAATCAGAAATTAAAAGAAAAAAAACCTGGATAAAGGATGATTACATCTGAATCAGTGATTAGTCATGCAGTGTGTCAACTAGAAACTACAGGTTTAGTGGAAAACAATTTACCTCATACATAATGTCACTAGCCGCAGCTTCAGAATGCAAAGGCAATGGAAGTGAGTAGACTATCGCCTTCAAGATGGTTTTTTCCCTTTCCTTGTTTGTCTCCATTAGTGCCCTCTCTAACAATGCTTTTGCCTCTGGATTAAGCTCGGTAATGAACTTCAATGGTGATGGCCATATGAGAGGATCTGGAGCTGACGGGTTCAATAATGCTGCATGCTTGTGCCTCAAAGCAACCATATAAGGTATCCTCCTGCCAAGATATCAGCTGGTAACAATTGTTTCATTCACAAAACATTCGAAGCTAATGTCTCCACTCATTTAAAATACAAATAGAGCAAACTTCTCACAATATTGGAAGTATTAAAAACAGAAAAATAGCAAAAAAAATTTCAAGTGCAACTATGTCAAAAGTTCAGTGGAACTCCAGTGGTGATTGCCAAAAGGAAAATGTCAAAATGTCATTTTTTTAGCAATGTTGTTCCAATGGTGTAAATGCCATTTTGGCACATCTAGATCATTGCTTAATTCTGTCCAATGGATGTCTCACATCCAGACCATTGGATCAAAACCCTCTCTTGGGTAAGTTGAGTTGGCACAAATGATGCACAAGATTTGGCAATATAAGTTTTTAACAGACCTTTTGGCAGGCCACTAGAGAGGATTTCTTAGGTGCAGCCACCATATAATTTGGAAATAGCAACCATTATACAAGCCCACTGAAGTTGCTCCTTCTTAGGTGTCAACCATATCTTTTGTTAAACCAAACTTGTCAAAGCCTCAATCCAAATTCTTTAATGCCATCATGTCATCGTCAACAATCTCAATAGGAACCAATTACTCCCGATTTTCGTTATGATTGAGCATGAAGGCTAATATTGTTTAACCACACTAGAAATACGTAGATTGTAGCACATTCAACTCCATAGAAAGGGAATAACAAGGGGGTTCAGACACTGCTATAACATTAATTCCATATTGAGTACTCAAAACTAATTTCAGCATCAAAGACCTTGAAATCACCTACTCCGTATGTCAGTGGATCTGGTCTGCATCAATTATCATATAGTTCTTTCTAAAGTCAGGAAAGAAAGAAAAACTAAAAAAAATTAAAAACTAAAAAAATTAAAAATTAAAAATAAAAAGTTTACCCAGATGAATCTCTATGAAGTCTATCAGCCCCCCAAGCAAGTAATTCCCGAACACAATCCAATGAACCCCCACGAACTGCAAAATGAAGTGATATAATCCCAGGGAAACTGCAAATAGGACTCTTATAAATATTAATGACAAATTAAGAGTGCTATGACATTACACTAGAAAACCTTCAATAAGAGAGTTTTACCCATATCCTCTAGAAGATGCACAAACAAGAGCCCCACTGTCTAACAACATATGAACGCACCCCGGCCATCCTTGTCAGGCTGCCAAGTGCAATTGGGTTGCTCCATTTTTATCTCTTATATTCACAAACCTTGCAAATTCCCTGCCATCAACTCCAAATCAAACCAAACAAAACAACCACAGCTTTAGCAACTTCATGGATATTCTCTACACACAAGCATATATGAGTGTGTGTGTGTAGAGAGAGAGAGAGAGGGTCACCAGGAATGTGCAACAGAGGTGGAAAGGGTAGCTAAAAGAATAGCTTGTAGGCAATCTAGATGGCCATAGAAAGCAGCATAATGCAAACAGGTTTTTCCATAGAGTGAATCAAACATCAAAATCTAATGAAATTTCATACACAACCAATGATCAATTTATCTTCTACAATTCAACCAATGATAGTATTTTGTTTGCATAAAAAAATCAGAAATTAAAAGAAAAAAAACCTGGATAAAGGATGATTACAGCTGAATCAGTGATCAGTCATGCAGTGTGTCAACTAGAAACTACAGGTTTAGTGGAAAACAATTTACCTCATACATAATGTCACTAGCCGCAGCTTCAGAATGCAAAGGCGATGGAAGTGAGTAGACTATCGCCTTCAAGATGGTTTTTTCCCTTTCCTTGTTTGTCTCCATTAGTGCCCTCTCTAACAATGCTTTTGCCTCTGGATTAAGCTCGGTAATGAACTTCAATGGTGATGGCCATATGAGAGGATCTGGAGCTGACGGGTTCAATAATGCTGCATGCTTGTGCCTCAAAGCAACCATGTAAGGTATCCTCCTGCCAAGATATCAGCTGGTAACAATCGTTTCATTCACAAAACATTCGAAGCTAATGTCTCCACTCATTTAAAATACAAATAGAGCAAACTTCCCATAATATTGGAAGTATTAAAAACAAAAAAGTAGCAAAAAAAAATTTCAAGTGAAACTATGTCAAAAGTTCAGTGGAACTCCAATGGTGATTGCCAAAAGGAAAATGTCAAAATGTCATTTTTTTAGCAATGTTGTTCCAATGGTGCAAATGCCATTTTGGCACATCTAGATCATTGCTTAATTCTGTCCAATGGATGTCTCACATCCACAATGTTGTTCCAATGGTGTAAATGCCATTTTGGCACATCTAGATCATTGCTTAATTCTGTCCAATGGATGTCTCACATCCAGACCATTAGATCAAAACCCTCTCTTGGGTAAGTTGAGTTGGCACAAATGATGCACAAGATTTGGCAATATAAGTTTTTAACAGACCTTTTGGCAGGCCACTAGAGAGGATTTCTTAGGTGCAGCCACCATATAATTTGGCAATAGCGACCATTATACAAGCCCACTGAAGTTGCTCCTTCTTAGGTGTCAACCATATCTTTTGTTAAACCATACTTGTCAAAGCCTCAACCCAAATTCTTTAATGCCATCATGTCATCGTCAACAATCTCAATAGGAACCAATTACTCTCGATTTTCGTTATGATTGAGCATGAAGGCTAATATTGTTTAACCACACTAGAAATACGTAGATTGTAGCACATTCAACTCCATAGAAAGGGAATAACAAGGGGGTTCAGACACTGCTATAACATTAATTCCATATTGAGTACTCAAAACTAATTTCAGCATCAAAGACCTTGAAATCACCTACTCCGTATGTCAGTGGATCTGGTCTGCATCAATTATCATATAGTTCTTTCTAAAGTCAGGAAAGAAAGAAAAACTAAAAAAATTAAAAACTAAAAAAATTAAAAATTAAAAATAAAAAGTTTACCCAGATGAATCTCTATGAAGTCTATCAGCCCCCCAAGCAAGTAATTCCCGAACACAATCCAATGAACCCCCACGAACTGCAAAATGAAGTGATATAATCCCAGGGAAACTGCAAACAGGACTCTTATAAATATTAATGACAAATTAAGAGTGCTATGACATTACACTAGAAAACCTTCAATAAGAGAGTTTTACCCATATCCTCTGGAAGATGCACAAACAAGAGCCCCACTGTCTAACAACATATGAACGCACCCCGGCCATCCTTGTCGGGCTGCCAAGTGCAATTGGGTTGCTCCATTTTTATCTCTTATATTCACAAACCTTGCAAATTCCCTGCCATCAACTCCAAATCAAACCAAACAAAACAACCACAGCTTTAGCAACTTCATGGATATTCTCTACACACAAGCATATATGAGTGTGTGTGTGCAGAGAGAGAGAGAGAGAGAGGGTCACCAGGAATGTGCAACAGAGGTGGAAAGGGTAGCAGAAAGAATAGCTTGTAGGCAATCTAGATGGCCATAGAAAGCAGCATAATGCAAACAGGTTTTTCCATGGAGTGAATCAAACATCAAAATCTAATGAAATTTCATACACAACCAATGATCAATTTATCTTCTACAATTCAACCAATGATAGTATTTTGTTTGCATAAAAAACAAGTATTGCAAGTGGGGGCGACATAGGCTAGCGGTAAACCAGGCCCCTACCGCACAACCACCGCATACTGCCAGCCATATATGTCTAAGGGCGGGCCCAAATTGCTAATGGTAGGGACAGAGAATAAGCACAGAATCAAAAAGTGAACAAAGACACCTCTCTACCTCTAATCAAATCTAATCTTACAGTGAGGAAAATGACAGTAACTACCAAAAATAATTGCCGAGACAATAAAAGAGATGTGTGCGGTGTGGAGGGCTCACTCCAATTGATTATATCTTCCTGTTATTTTGTGATGGTAATGAAACGGGATGATTCAAGATGCTTCACAGGGCTCACACTCTATTGTCAGCAATTGCACCCATGATTGCAAAAATTTCACAATGTGAATTGTAAGGAGTAATCATGACAACCAAAATAAATATTAAAAAATTAGAAGCACATCTGGTTATTTATAGTCACATAACAATAATCAAATTATTTATTTAAACATTGCCACAAAATCTTTTTTTGTATGAAATGGGGCTATAACTTAATTCTCATTATCTCAAAGAAGTTCGAGGCAAATGAACCCAAAAAAAAAAAAAAAAAAAAAAACTTCTGTTTTAGCCACCATCTATAAAGACACAACTACCTTTGAGGACATTTAAATGTGTACAAATGAAAGCTCTAATAAAACAGCTACATGTCAGTATTACCACAAACACATTGAAATTTCTTTATCTTATATATGCATTAGATATATAAGAATTAGTGATGGGTCCAAATGCGATAACAGTTTGATAAATGAGAAAAACGGTTTTAACAGTTTTGGACGGTTTAATGAATGAAAAAAATTTGTTTAGCAGATATTGAGGCCTCATTTGGGAAGTAACTATTTTAGCCAAAAAGTCAGTATCTTTACTTTTCTGTACATCTTTTCATAAAAAAATAAAAAAAAACACTTATTTAGATCATCCAATCAAGCCTAAATTAGACTAACATGAAATTAAATTTCAAAAGTAACCGATTGCAACTTGCAAGGGGGTAGAAAGCTAGTTTTCAAGTAAATTTTGTGAATTTGAGAAGCTTGATGATTTGATTCACAACACAAATTCAACACGATTCACACCTCTCTCTCTCTCTTTGGTTTCTGATTCAATGGTGGTGATAGGATAGGATAGGATAGGAGGACGATGGTGGTGAAGAGGAAGTGATGGGGGCGTACAAAGCAGACGACGATTACGATTACACAGATCGAAGAAAACCAGATTAATAATAAAAAACATAGATCCACAGCATACGAGAGAATCGATTTGAGCAAGAGACAAATAGAGAACTATAAGTTTTTTTAGTCAAATCTTCACCTGGTCTCGCACATCAGCAGCAAACGGCGGAAACCTGATAATCAACAAACGTCTATGCAGATGTGCGATTGTAAGGGTAGGGACCTACGAATTATGAGAGAAGGCTGTGCAAGATGGAAAATCGAGTAGAGTGATGAGGGGGTTTGTTACCTATCCTGGGAAAAAAAAGAGGGAATTTTGAGAGGGAACATTCACACCGCCTGAATAAAGCAGATCACCAAAAAAAAAATGAGGACAATAAAAACAATTTTTAGATTTTTTTTTTGGAAAAACTTAAAATTAATTTGAGAACAATAAAAATCAAAAATATATTTTTAAAATTTTAAAAATTATTTATGACCTCCCAAAACATAAAATTATACAAAAATAATAAGTATATTTTATTTTTTCACCAAATGTTTTTTAATTTTTTAGAAATTTTGAAATAAGTTTCTAAAAATACAACCAAATATATTGAAATTGATGATCTAACCACTTTGGAAAAGTTTAGATTGTCTTAAATTAGCCATCTCAACTTAAGAACATGTTTGAGTTTGACGGGTTTATTTTGTGATATAATTCGATGATCACTTTAATTTTACAATTCAATAATTAGAATATTTAAAATTTTTTGAAAAATTATAATAAAAATACAAATAACTAGATCACCTCATTTCACTACCAAAACATTTACCGACGAATAGTATTATCATCGCTAAATGTTTAACTCTTTACCCATGCCAACTTGTCGTCGCCAAAAGTAAGCACATTAATAGCGACGCTTATTGTGTTGCTAAAAATTAAGCCTCGTAGCTAAAATTTATGAAATTTTGGCGCCAACCAATATCTTTGGCGCCTAGTCAGTGTTATGCTTTTTTAGCGACGATAGTAAATTGCGTTGGTAAAGGTCTACTTTTCCCAACGAAATTGATTGCTGTGTCGCCAAAAATATACTTTTAGCTACGAAAAATTGACGTTGTAGCCAAAAGTAGCCGCCAAAAGTGCAATTTCTTGTAGTGTCTAGAGTTCGTACGAGTCACCTCTTGAGTCCATACATCTGTTATGTTCCGTTCTGTACCGTGGTTATGATTATTTTGTTTTTATAATTTCTATATTATATGTCAAATGATTCCCATATTATATATTCTGTATTTTAATATCAAGGTTTGTTTAGCCAATAATTATCCATGTTGATTTTATGCCCTTGTGATCTTAGTATAATATTTATCACTTTACCATATGCTTATAATTGTTTATCACTTTCAGGTAACATGTTAGGGCCAACGCGTGGGGTAGGCACAAAACACTTTGTAAACACAGTTCAGCTCTGACAATTTAATTAAATAGAAGCACCAATGATTATTTTGGTACTCTCACTTAAATTTTTTTTTTTTTGCTCACGTTTAGTAATTTGTTTAAGAATTGGCCGAAGATAACCTCAGTTACTGACCATCACAATATTTAACCGTTGGATACAGGAAACAGGTCGTGACAAGTGGTATCAAAGCAATGGTTTATAATAATAAAAAAAAAATCATCATTGGAGCATAAGACACGCGCACATTTAAGAAGTAGAATGACGGGTAATTAGTATCTAAATATTATATTTTGTTAGTCGATTTAATTATATTATAATTTAATATGATTTTATGTATATATATATATATATTTTGTGTGCATAATTTGTAAAGGATATTAGATATAATTTATATTTGTTATAGTAAAAGAAGGAAAAGAAACAGAGGGTGTCAAGCTCCAGCACCTACCAAAATTATAATATAATTAAATACATATAATTTCCAGTTCAGTATTCAAAAAAAAAAAATTTATTCTACTTGATCATGAAGTTTGAAAATTTATATATAAAAAAAAAATTAACAAAAAATAAAATAAAATAAAATAACGGTACTGCATGTAGTGAGGTTGTGTTAAGTGACTCACTAGTGTAAGGATTTGACAACTCATGTTCTTTATATTTAACTATGTAATAAGTAATTTAAAATAGTAAATCTTAAGAAAATCACACTCTTATAATCACTCTGAAAACTCGATTAGGATCATGTTCAACTAACCTAGGTTCAAATTAGAATTCTTGATAAACCACGGTATGGAACGAAATAGAACAGAACAGATGTATGAACTCAAGAGGTGGCTCCCACCATAGTGTAGCACCCACCATAGTGTAGCACTTAGCTCTGTATAAAATTTTACTGTAAAAATTTCAAAATTTAAGTTGCCCCTTAAATTTTATGTTAGTATTATTTAATTATAAATGAGAACAACCCTAAAGGTTTCATTAAATATTCTGTAAGAATAAAAGAAAATATTGAATATTATGATTGTATATGATAAAATAAAATTTAATTAGGAATTATATATTATAAAAACAAAATGGTATATAATTAGTTTTAAAAATTAGGCCAAATTAAAATTAAATCAAAGATTAAAATAATAATAATAGTCCCTACATGTGCTCTAGCCAAACATATAGATTGATGACTATGCAAGTAAAGTTTTAAAGACTTCGGTGAGTCACCTAATCTAACCTAATCTAGAGGGACAGGTAAAGTAAACAAATTATCACCTGTTGGATATAGGGCACTGGTTAACTTTTGATTAGGGACTAAGGTTTTCACCAATTATAAATTGCGGGATTTAGTGGGTTGCTAAGCGGAGGAAAAATGATATAACTAAGGGAAGCATACAAAGAAACATGAAGTTGATATGAGAAAAATAAAGGTTAAGGGTCAATATTTAGGTGAGTTATAGTATATCTTAAGTTATCATAATATATTTTACGTATGTTTGGAGTTATTATAATTTATTTTACGTAATTTGTATTTTATAAATTATATTAGCATTTTCAATTTATGAATCTTATTTTATATAATAAGGAAAACCTATACATATAACAGTTTATTAAAATGTGTTTTGAGTAATTATTTTATAAGTAACATCACATGCGTCACATGCATTAGGGGACTTAAATAATCATTGGCCCTCTGATTAGTCACTTTGTGATCCTCTGTTTGTCATGGATCCACTGACACTCTGACTTCTAGTGTGGAACAAAGTGTTTGTATGGAGTTAAGTGGTACACTATTGTGGAAGCCACCTCTAGAGTTCGTACGAGCCATCTTTTGAGTTCATATATCTATTATGTTTTGTGTCGTGGTTATGATTTCTGGTGTGGAGCAAAGTGTTCTACGGAGCTAAGTGCTATACTATGGTGGGAGCCACCTCAAGAGTTCGTACGAGCCACTTCTTGAGTTCATATATCTGTTCTGTTCCGTTCTATACCGTGATTATGATTATTTTGTTTATATAATTTCTGTATTATATGTCAAATGATTCCCGTATTATATATTATGTATTTTAATATCAAGCTTTGTTTAGCCAATAATTATACACGGTGATTTTATACACTTATGCTCTTAGTATAATATTTCTTATTCTACCATGTGCTTATAGTTGTTTACCACTTTCAGGTGACATGTCAGGGCCAGCGCGTGGGGTAGGCACAAAGCACTTTGTAGACACAATTCAGCTATGACAATTTAATTAAATAGAAGCTCCAATGATTATTTTGGTACCCTTACTTAAATATTTTTTTCCACTCGCGTTTAGTAATTTGTTTAAGAATTGGCCGGAGGTAACTTTAGTTACTGGCTATCACGATGCTTAGTCCTTGAGTACGGGGAGCAGGTCATGATAAGTGAACCTGGCCTGGCCTCGGGCTTAGGAGGACCTGATTATTTATTTTAATTTTTTTCTACCAAAAATTTATTATTTCCCACTAAAAAAGACACTGAGCCTTGGCACGAGTCGGGTGGG